GTAAGTCGATAGCATTCGGATACACTCCAACACCCCTTTCTCCATGCTATAGCCTGCGAAGTCCCTCCAACTGTAATGGTTCATCCACGACACACCTACGGACAAGTTGTGAACGTTTGAACTTATTTCAGTAAATTTAATATATAAAACAGGCTGAAAGTTAAACATGTGAGCAAGATGACACTACATATCTCGAACTATCGACAGGTAGAAGTCTGTCGGATTTCATTTGTGTTCAGCAAATAATGTGTCGGCGTGGCGAGTAGCTTCGTGATACTGACCTAGTAGTACGTGTTGAACACTAGCGAGCAATTTACCACTATAGTAAGACATCGATTGGAGGTCCTCGGCAAATAAAATACTTGGCTGGACATAGGAGAGAGTGTTGTTCTGCGAGATGTGACACGTGCCTTGGTTAACGTATGACTTTATTCGAACTATCGTAGTCCCTTACTGGTTTGACAGAAGGCACCGAATATGACTAACAGGTCATTGCCATGGGCTATAGGTGCTATAGCTGGAGAGGGGGGTTGGAGTGTATGCTCATGACTTACACGTAGTTTCACTAGAATCCTTCCGTCTACATCGTTTTCTACTTGCAGTTGCTGTTGCTCCGCTTAGTGTACAAATAAAGGACATTCATGTGACCCAGGAGTACATGTCGGGACTAAGGATACTGCTTTTATTATCTACAGCGGTCAACAGTACTGAGTGAATATGACGTGTGTGCCGTCATACAAAGGCTTCTCAATCGGTAATCGTGACTAATCGTTCTCAGCTGCCTCGCGATCATCATGACTATCTCATAAATTCAATTAGAAAACAAGTCACTGTAATGATGAGCACCCAGATCGTGAAACAAATACAAAAAAAGTCATCGTTCTTAGGAATGCACGCATCAATGACCCCACGATCGGCCGATTTTCCGAAAAAAAAAATAAATAATAAGATTTCAACGACAAAACAAAATAAGTCGTACACCACTCCATTAAAAAATCATTGAATTAACGTAAGGATCTTAGGAAGGCAGATATAGCAAAAGATGAACGTAAACGACAAACGAGGCGATCGACATGTTTATTTCCTGGTAAGTCAACAATGGGTCGCCCCGGATTCCTATGACGAAAATAGAATGTCGCCAGTTATCATTACTCAACTTATATTGCAACACCGGCTCCTGCCCTCACGTGCTGCAGTCAGTGAGTGTTGCCAGGAACTACTTATTATAAGCCACATTGGACTCATATTTCTGTAAAGTTGCTTGGTAGTAAGTAATAATGGTTGTTGCGGTTGTGAGCTTGTAGATAGGTTATTTTCAAATAGCCGACCCGACATATATAGGTTTAAAGTGCTCATGTTCTTTTGCGCTTGTTTTCATAGACCTGGTAGCTTATTCCTTCTGCAAAAACTGGCAACACTAGTGGCTGCAGCGTTAACACTGCATGAGAGAAGGAGAGACAGACAGAACACTACCATTTGCATGCGATCATGGTACTTTAATGTTAAATGTATAGAGTATATTTGCTTGGTATTATTCAGAAGCAAAATAATAAAAAATAAAAAGATAAATAAAATTAAAAAAAGATCAGCATGACATCATAGGATCGCCGTAATTTAGAAATGAGATCGCATAGGTGTCTGAATCGAGATCACGATCGTTTTTCGATTAATCGTGCAGCACTACCCTTCTGCATGTCTGTGACCATGGACCATATTTCATAATCCACGTGACATATTCATATTTCACGTTCAGACAACCTACACAAATTGGCTGTGGAAATACAACGCTTTCCATTGCATTGAGCACAACATGCCTGATGATACACAGATCCTCCAGTCATTATTGTTAGTGACGCTGTTGACATGCATTGCATTTTCTTTGTGTGCTGCCCAAACCATAGATGCAGATTCCAGATTAAGTTTTTAATCCGTCACTGAGCAAATTTGGCCTTTAGAGCTCGTTATCTAAGAGCTGATTAAAGACACCTGCCGAGAGGTGACCAATGGTGGGGGGTTAAAGGTTCAACACGCTGCAGCGTTTTGAGCCATACAGAGTAGCATCTGCTCCCTGATCTCACGGCGAATTGTAAGTGGCTACTGCCTGAGATCGCATGCTGTGGTTTTATTAAATGTGCCAACTGCTAGGACTGTCTTAGGGAAGATAGCATTTAGATGCCCAGCTCCACTGTATTGGAATAGTCTGCAATTGAAATGGAAACTGAGCAATCTGGTGCCACTAAATGTTTTTAAAGCTCGGTTGGATGCTACTCAATCGGAAGCTGTTGGTACCTGTTCATGTGGATAGTTATTATTAAAGATGCTGTAAGACGTCCTTTTCTTTGTTCTGTTTTATGTTTTTATGTTTCATGTGGAACCTACTTGAGCAGGTCTCCCTTGAAAAAGAGATCGATGATCTCAAGGGATTCACCTGGATAAATAAAGGTTTGAAATGAAATGAAAGCAAGTGTTCTGCTTTGTGTGGTGAGTGAAGGAAGATAACTTTGATAACATCAACTCATGATTTAGAGGGACTTACGTGGCGTTGCTGAAACCCACATACTCGTTTCCCGCCATACGTTTCAGAAAGTTCATGACCTGGAGGAAAGCAAAGTGAAAGTTGATAAATTGTTATTTACATTTTTAAAAAGTCATTACAGCCCCTTTAATGTCTAGCTGTGAGCAGTTACTACATTTTCTTGTATACTGCATGGTGGTATAGCAGCACACTTGTTAGTATGCATAATCACACTTCATTGTGTCCTTTCTCTAGATCAGTGTTTCTCAAACGTTTTCATACCAAGGACCACTTAACCAATAAAAAAACACTCGAGGACCACCTAACTCCACAAATATCCAAAATCACATCGTTTTTCTAGAACAGATTACAGATCGCCTGAAAATGGTACAAACAAGTGGCAACATGTGTGATGAAGGTGTTGCGCTGGGCTATATCATGCAAGCAAAGGTGAAACTTACGCTCGCTCCATTGCGGAGATGTTCCCGCGAGAGTGCGGAAAACTTAAATGTATTTATTTATTTCAAATGTGAAATGTTACCAATATACTCACGGACCACTAGGGGGCGCTCACAGACCACCAGTGGTCCACAGACCACACTTTGAGAAGCACTGCTCTAGAGTAAACACTATGTACTCAACATCTACTCAGAGTTACTGTGTAGTAAGGCATTTAGCACAGCTCATAAGCTTTATTAGACAGTATAAAGAGGTCAATTAAATACACAATAATAAAACAGCATCTACTCATCCTAGGGGACTCTTCATAAGGTACATAAAAGTGAATCAATACTTTTTACTTTAATATTTCACCCGGTATGACGTCTAATACTTACATAATCAAATCTTTCTGCGTTGCTTGCACCTTGCTGTTGAGTGAAGAAAATAATCAGCAGTTAGTACGATTCATTCACAGAGGGATTTTTTTGCAGAGGAGAAGCACAGCATCATTATAGATCAGACTGAAATATTAATGCTGACCAAATAAAACTACTGAATTAGAAAATACATTTGTGGATTTTTATGTACAAAAAAAAAATAAGAATCACATGAGTTTTGCCAATAATTATAAAAATCGATAACAAATATCAATAGGATTTGATGAGACTTGATTACACAATGGAAGATCTTTAGACTTAAAAAAGGGAGATTTAGTAGACATGTGCATCAGCAGACCTAAGTCAGTTAAAGAAACACATGTCCCACCATTATGTCTCACTGATTCCAAATAGGGGGCTCAATATTGTCTAATCAGTAAAAAGGTAAATGTGTTGTTGTTTTTGTAAGCTGAAACAGCTGTGACTGTATGTAATGTAATGTATGTTACTATCCAAGTAAATGTAAGTGTATGCAGCTAGGTTTGCATTACAGGTTACTGTAAAGCAGGTGTATGTGTTTGAGGATGATATGTCAACGTGTGTCATGTGTCAAGAGACTGTCAGACAAAACAACGGGCAGGATACAAAGGGAAGAATGCTTTTCCTCTGAGAATAGAATACACAGTTTGTGTACCTTTTTGAAGCTTATTATGTTGCCTATCGCACTGCAGAAAACACAGCAAAAGTACAAATGGACATGCATGCACATTTATAGTTCTGTAGCATTAGTTTCAAATATAAAGGATGGTGTGCACATATTTTTAACATTACATTTAAAAAGACAAATGCATTATGTGTGACAGCACATTTCAAAAATTCTACACTTTACTGTGCAGAAGAAAAAGTAAGTGACACTGATGGAGGTGTTAAAGAGTCACTAAATGGGAGTTCTACAGATCTGATTGGAGGAGAAAGAGAGAAGAGTGGGGTAGGGGTCTGGGGATTGGGAGGAGAAAGATATGGAAAAGGAAGAAAAAATTACCAACGTCATTTGACCTGCAGCAGCAGTCATTATTTCCCACAGTTCCTATGTCTGTAAAAACAGCAACAACATGTAGCCTTCAAGCACCATGTAACAACAGTTCTGCCACTTCAACCATCCAACAGTTTCCCCCCCAAGCTTAAAGCCAATTGGGCGACCTGACCTGGCATTTGAGACATTTGAGTCTCAGTATAGAAAAACAAATAACACTGAAACAATGGTGAGCAGATGGACACTGACACTCATGATCGTCTCAGAAAAATGTGAGGAGATGTGTTTGGAGCATTCCTGTGAAGTGTCTTTAGTCATTTAGTATGTCCAACAGGTCTGCTGTGTAATGAAAGCTTTATCTGAACATCAATCTATTAAACTAAAACGATTTATATAACGTGCATTATAAAATCTAAATGAGGAAGGTGTTTTGACTGGTTGATTTTCTTGAATAATGAGTACAGAGACGGTAATCATATTAAAAAGGACCTTACTTGGAAGAAAAAGAACAGAACGAACAGATTTAATCTAATAGACTAGAGGATTAAAAAGTACAGTTGGTGCTCTTCTAATGTTTCAACTTAGCCAAGTATTTATCTGCTTACACCACTGTTGGCAATGTTTAGAGTTATTTCAACATGTAAGCCCTTTCCCTTGGGGGGTGAGATGAATAGATCACCAAAATAATGTCATGGATGTGTTTAGCTAGTTTAGCATGAAGACAGAAACAGGTAAACGCCTAGCTTGGCGTGTTCAAAAGCACACCAACCAACACTAAATCTCAATCATTTACATACATTTGTTAATTAATATGAAGAGAATTTGTTTTGCATTTGTTGGCACTATTTATGGGGAATTATCTTTGGGCAAACAACAGCTAATTCTCCGAGTCTGGTTATCTCAGAGAGGCTGTCGGGTCTGCTGCTGTTAGTCGTTCTTAGATACCAATATCATAACCTGTGCTCACAATATCCTAGATCTTCCACTAAAAACCACACTGAAGCACTTCCAAATACTACTACATTCCTGGTTAGACGTTTCCCTCAAGTATTTTTTCTAAGCTAGCTATTTTAAGCTTTCAGATTCGTACTTAGTTAATTGCTTAGTAGATGCATTTATTCATGTTTTAGCCACTTGGTGCCGGCGGTAAAATCAATTAACCCAACAGTTAAAAAAAGAAGTAAAAAAAACATGGAATTTCAAATGTTTTTGGTTTCTATGAACTAATGGTAAATAGCTTTAGGTTATTGGCTTTCATATCATCTTCTCATCTTGCTCTCAGAGAAGAAAAATGCTGAACTATTGAATCTACTAAAAAACGAAGTTACCCATCGCTGTGAAAGATATCTTCTTTGTATTTTAGATTACCATTTTAATCTAAATTCTACTTCTGTTCGACAACTGTGACGACACACAACAGTCACACAAATGGAAAGGTGTTTTAATGGTATCTGTTGTGTCTTGTGTTTGTTCATTATGTTAAGCAATAAAAAAGGAAAAATAAGCTTTTAAACATTGCTGTTACACATCAGATCTAATTCATAAATACTGCTGACAAGTTAGAAATTAAGGTCCAATGTTTCCTCAAGCAGCCTTTGTGTTCAATTAAAGTGTTAACAAAACAAATGTAATCATTTTCCTCAGTGTACTATAACTGGTCTTGAAATAAATATTCATTGTTCTTTTGCCCCAAAAGTATAAATGTTAAGAAATAGTACTACTCGGTTTAAAAATGTACTTTATGGCACCAAATTCATAAACATGCCATTGTAAAATCACTAACTATGACAATTGTGTTGTCAACTTTGCTTTTATTGCACAATAAACTACAAATGTATATCTTGGGCCATTGTCAGATATACACTGTAAAATACAGCTACATGTTTGATAATACTACCATTGTCTCAACTTCGAGTGACATATGCAAGAATGTGATGGTGTTTATTATCAGTTTGCAAATATCATCCCATAATAAACACCAAGCACAGGTGAATTTTGAAATGGGAATGTGTTTTGAACATGTGGAAACAGAAAACAAACAGGTCCCAGACCCTGAGACTTCTGACAAAGAGTACAAGAGGTCCAAAACCAAATGAAAATCAAACAGGCCACATGCTTCAGCATGCTTGTTCATACATAGGTGGTGATTTGATTTCATTCCCTTTATATATTGCTTCCTCTCAAGTAAAGAAACCCCCACTAATAATCATATTTCCAAGCTTTGGTATCATATTGTTTCTTACAACATCAACAACAAATATTCATATTATTAGTGAACACAAATTCAGCTCCAAGTCTAATTGTTTGGGACAAAAGATTGGCCCAACATAAGATCCTCTCCAGAAAAACCTACAGTCAGATATCTTTGACATTGAGCATTTTGTAGCAAATAGCAGAGAATGTGTTTTGCAGCTCATTTCAAGATATTCAAAAGAAAACATCTGTGATTTAGTCTTGCAGCTATTTATAGAAAGCTCTTTTCTGAATGTGTCTGTGCAAGTGCTAATTATGCAGTGCCTGCACAATTATGTAAAGAGCCCCTGTGAAGTCAAATAATTAAAAGTCAAACCCAAAAATGATTTGTAACTTTTAACTTAAAAACATATGGAAAAAGCTGTTGTTAAAGCCATGTTTCACCTCTCCTTTGTTATGTGTGAAACTGTGAGCTGCAGCTCATATGACAAGCGATTCATTTCTGAAGTCACTGTCAGTTATCTGTCTTCACACTGCAGAGAAATCCTGACAGGGTCACACTAAACTGTGGTGAAAAGATAGAGGCTCTGTGACAGGTAAGTATTGATCATCATCATGTGCAGATTGAGGCTGGTTTGCGTGCACTGCACTTGACTAGCTCCACTTCCAGGTTATTTTCAGTAGGGACGATAACAGAGTATGTTTGTGTGCTGGGGCTGACTGAGTGCCTTCCGGAAGGATTTACACAAGACTTAATTACCACAACAGGATACATGACAGTGGACTAAGGTGGTGACCTAGAAATGATTCCAGCTGAGTCAAAAGTCATATATATCTGAGCAAACTGGGTGTTTGCACCGAGTAAAGGTAAAAATGAACTGAATGTGACGTGCATTGAGATACGCCCATTGTTTTTAATAGCTGAACACGCACTAGAGGCGCGACACAGCAGTGCTACTGTTACTTTTGTAGAGAGATCAAAAGGAACAAAAGCTAGTATTCTTCCCCAGAGCGTGTTCTTTAGTTATATTAATAACAAAAGTGTAGTTTCACTGGTTAAAATAACAAACGTCATGTACATGTGATGACTGTATGCAATAGGAGCATCAATTGGGGCACGTCAAATAAGGAGCGGTTTTTAGTTTTTTATTGTTTTCAGTGCATTTGGGTCTTAACTAAGAATACCATAATATTAAAACATGATAAGAAATGAACTAGGTGTTGAATCAGCTAAAAACTGCATTACTGTGAGTCTTCCTAGCATTGTTTTTAAATTAAAGATAGGTTTCTCAGCTCATTGTTAAACAGTCAATAGTATCTGTTAATATTAACTGTATGTTATCCTTCATTTTATTAACTTGATAAGCAGCTCACTGATAAACCCACCATACACAGAGTTGTATCTCTAAGGTTACAGTGGAAATGACACAGACTGAACATGAAAACACAAATGAAGGAGCGGAAAAGTGTTTCTGTGTTTACCTCTATCAGTGAAGTACAAACAATAGCGCCAGCGTTCACCATGGGGTTGTGGGGCTTATCTGCAAAACATAAAAAAAGCTCAGTTAGCATACTGCAGAGGATCAAAGTGTAAACACTCACCTGAGGGCTCTGTATATAGACAGAACAAACACTGAGAATCAAATGCATGTAGAGCACACATTGACTGATGATACTAAAAATAAATATATGTTTTAATAGAGTATATACAAAATAGCAGCAGAATGATGTGAACAAATGTTTTCAAATGTTACTTTGGCATGTAGCCACGTTTTTATGACATGAGATTGTGGATGTTGGCACACACAAAGCTTGGAACACTGACAAAGTTATTTAAACTCTGCCATGCTTTGCTATCGGAATGAGAAATACTGGATTGATTTTTGGGAGGGTTACTTCACAGTTGCTAGAATAGAAATATTTATAAATATAAATAAATTATACAAAGTAACATATTTATAAAAGTATGAAGAAACATGTGCATTGCACTACAATATACTTTGAATAATAAATGTATACTACAATAAATAACACATTATTTAAATAACATGTTTAAAAGCATGATTAATTTAAAAACAGATTTTGCATTTTAACACATCTGTGATGATCTATGAAGATGGATTCATGTTTGAATAATACAAATAGAGCTGCGATGATGAAGTGTCATGTTTCAACTGTGAGTGGAGCTGGATAGATGCCACTAAGCAACAATGAGTCAAAGCTAATCGACTACTGTTTAACTGAAGACATTTATTTAAATCAAATCATTAAAAATGTTTTAATTTAAAAAGAAAATTAAGATATAGAAAGTCTTGCTCTCGTATTAATTATTCGTCAGCTGGAGGTCAGGTGACTTCTGACATATTCCTCTTCAGGACAGTAAAACTAAGAATTAGTTTAGTCTATTTCCATAAGCTGCTCTATGTAATGAGCTCTCTTCCTCTTTAGTTCTAGTCATGCTGTGCAAATGTAATGACAAGAGGACACAAAGTCTTCCCCCTTTAGAGCTCGAAAAGCATTTAAGTGCAGCACCTCCATTTTCTCACTTGTGCATCATGCCCTGGCAGAATAGAGGCTACATGTGTACACTCTTCTATCAGGGTAATAGAAGAGTAACAGTGCAACATTTTTACAATAGTGTGTAGGAAAGGAAAAATATACCATGAACTGAAGGAACGAACTAGAGAAAAAGGAAAAGTGTATCGTCTCACCATCATCATCGAGGAAGAGTTTATTAAAGCGCAGGCCACTGGGCTCCTTCCCAATAAAACTGTGCACGTACTCAGTGCCGTGGTCGTGGACAGCGATGGCGTACTTCAGGGGCTTGACACAGGACTGCAGACAGAAGGGGACCTTAGTGTCTCCTACTGTGTGTCTACAAGCCAGAAGATACAAGTTATCTAAGCGTGTAAAACAGCTGCAATTTCAGTGAATAGAAAACAACATTTTTAGAGAACCATGAACAGACTGCACCAGGGGTCGGCAACATTTTTGATATGAAGTGCCACTTAAAAAAAAAATTTTTATCAGCGTGCCAACGATCGAGAATTGTCAACGGATGCTGTGGGGAGAGGGAGACGAGTAGATTTCCACCTGTCGGAGTAGAGGTCGAGACCGTACTGATTAACTAGGTATGTTGAACAACACAAAACTCTTAGTGTACTTTGCCTCTAAACAGGAATAAATACATACACAAGGACAAATTTTGTTTATATAAATATTACACAAACAATTTAAGCCGTAGCACATTCAACCGTCGACTGTCCAAGGTGGTGTGTGACGAAGGGCCAACGCTCCGAGGGGGGCGGGAGAGACGACTATCAACTGCTCGCAGTAGTTCGAGGAGTTTGTTTGGGGGGGGGGGGGT